TTAAGATAAAATACACATTCTGTCCATGTGCAGAAATACTATTTTACATTCAATTCTGAAGCAGGTAGTTTTACATGAACAATAACAGGAATGGTGTAAGGTAGTAAGAGGAGTAGGTATGGTAGTGACAAGAAATGACAAGGCAGATTTTGTTTTTCAAAGTGCTAAGGCCTACTGGCAAGTAAGATTTTAGTGACAAGGACACATACGGTAATCGCTCCCGTTCCTCTAGTCTCTCAATGCTGGTGAAGGTGGTAAGCTGGAGCCTGATACAGCATGACATGGCCAGATGAAAAGGTCAGTGGAGCTTCGATGCAATCTCCTCCCCAAACACTTGGAGCTTAATGAATACCTGACAAAAATCTTGCCCTATAGTGATATTAATGCTGACCAACCCTTAGGGAGTGCTTTCTATTGGCCCTTATCTCTAAAGCCATAAAAAGGGGGCTTAAATCCATGATTTCACTCATCTTAAGGCTTGTGCAAAAGAATTATACACCTCATCAGTGGTACTCACAGGTAAGAGATACCTGGACACCTAAAATCAAAAGAATGGCTGATTTAAGGTAAGTGTCCTGACTACTTAACATGTCTTATACTCTACTGGCTATGATGACATGGAACTCCTATCCTTTTTTTTAAAGCTGATCCCAGAAATATTAAACTTCATTCACAGCACAAATACTGCATGAACCTGAGGCAGAGACAGGTTAAGCCACAACTTGCAGGTGTGGCTATTTATGCATGTGCGCGCGCGCACACACACACACACACACACAAACACACAAACACACACGCTCTTACCTAAGATCTCTTCCTTGTGTCCAACTAGATCCTCTGACTAAATGAACTTTTTATAAACAACCCCTTTCTGCCTTATAGTCACTGCCTCAAAATCATTTTAACTATAGTACAATTACTTAGGTCTCATTTCTGTGGCTGTTATTTGTTGCTAAATAAGGCAGATGATACTGAGTATGTTTAGGGCAACTAACAGTGCAGGCAGTTGTTTAGAATAGTATTAGTGAGGTCAGAAGCAAAATCCATAGCCCTGGTCAACAACATCCTGGTCAGGTCAACCGACTGCCATTGTATATAGACACCCATCTCTAATCTGGTGAAGTGACTCAACAAACTGCACGTTCTACTAACAATGAATCAATCCTGTCTCTGTATATTATAAACTACAGCTGATTCTTAAGGAGTTTAAAGCATCCTGGAGATTACCCCCCCCCAAATTTTTTTTTCAATTTTTAACAAATAAATATGAAATTTATCTTCCCTCTCCCTAAGGCAGCTTCCATGTTTTGGAAGAACAAAGATGATTCAGGTACAGTCTTTTTCTGTCTTTTTCTGAAAATCGTCTGACTCTTCCAACTGGAGGGCCCCCAGAGTCTACCCAATACTATGTCCTAAAATCACACTTGATCATTACTTGCTTTCTCTCCACTATTCCATATTAGAAATATGAGTGGGTATGGGGTTGAGAGGGAAGAGTCCAGATTTGGAATTTACTGCACAAGTAAATCTTTATCTCATCTGATAAAATGTCTCAAATATTAGAATAGTCAAGTCTTATAAAAGAGAGGAATATCGATTTTTCCCTGTTTCCCTCTTTGTTGAGAATAAGCACAAATCTGTTAATTGTATAAGCAAAAGCAAACAAAAAACCAGAATCTGAAATCCAGAGCCACGATACTGAGTAGCAGATAGGTTATTGTTAGGAACAGCATGAGGAGCACAAGCAGTGCTGAAAGACAACCCATGGAGTCCTGCTTAAACCTGTTTACACAAAATCACCAAAACAAATATCAGAATCACTGTTACTAAAACACCAAGCATTAGAATTCTGATTAAAAAAAAAACAAAACATTAAGCCACATCTCCTTCAAATGCATGACTTTAGATTACAATGAATGGAAAGGTGGGAGAAAGGGGAAAAGAGTAACTTCTACCAGGCCTAAACAGATCCTAACAGAGTTGTAAAAACATTTCTACGCACTAAGGCAAACAATGAGAAAGGAAGAGTACAACTGCAAAGGCAAATAGCAAATCTTTTCGTCAATGGAAAGGAAAAAGCCCATTGAACTTAAGAAACAGCAGTCTCACAGCACCTTTAGACCATAAAATGGTAGCTTATCATCTGATTTGCATATTACCTATGTCTGTAAGATTTCTAGACCTATTAACAATTCCAGAGCTTCTGATAAATCCCAAGTAATTTTTACTAATATTTGTACAGCTCACCAAAACTACCAACCCTCTAGTCCCTAAATGCTGTTCAACACACTGGCAGTCACTGTCCCATTTTATATTTCACTAAAGTCATGTAACAATGACAAACCCTCTCTCATATTTCAATACTGTTATTGCCCCTGCATTCCTCCTGCCCCCACAATAGCTGCTTAGAAGCAACTACTGACCCATATGACTTCCTCATCCCTAAAATAAACTTAGCAATGATGGTCTATGCACATATTGAGGAGATGTTCAATGAAAACATAAGGTTCTTGAACGTCATTTTATATCAGACCATATCTTCATAATCATACAACTGTCTGAAAGGTAGAGAGACAAGATCCTGATCTATTACTGATTGTACACAAAAAGTATTTGACTCAGTAGAACATGATTAAGTTTTAGCCTTAAAGGCTCTCCTTCAATGCTACCCATGTATATTAAAAAAAAAAAAGATCCCCTGATAGACGTAGCCACAGTGATAACTTTGTTTAAACAATTTCTGAATATAAATATCTAATGAAAAATAAAGCAGGGAGACAGATGCTCACCAAAGGCGTTTACTGGCATCATGTAGGATGTTCTGTACAAGGTCCACACCAAAAGTTGGTTACCTATAGATAATGAATACTGTCGGTATTAACAAAACATTAAAAGAAATCCTTTAGAACACAAGTTAAATTCTCCATGAAGAATTTACGGAAGGTTAAGGCATAACTAAAAAGGCATGGATGAGTTACAGTTAGAACCAGTGGTAGGAGTGTTCAAACTGATGAGGTCACAACCATCAAAGTAACACAACCATTCTTCAATGGACTACATTGGACTACAGAATGGAATGTCACTAAGTCAAGACTTTGCCTTACCATGAATGCAAGGTACTTCACTTGATGATTTAAAAAAAAAAAAGATAAACTACAGGTTAAGTGCCTACTATGTTCAAGCCAGTAATCAAGATACTAGGGATAAAAAGACAGAACTGTTGACTGAATGGGAACTTTACTCCCAAAAGGATGTAGATTGGAAGTGACTGGATCTTAATCAATGTTCATTGACCTATTCATTTTATGTGAACTCATTTTAATGTTTTATACCTTATTTTACATAAAGAATTTTCTTGAGATTCAATCAGTTTCTTTAGAGATGTGCAGACCTTCAGCAAACATAGATTTAGTATGAGCTTACAGTGTTCCCTTGCTCTACTGTTAGGCACTCTCAATTTCCTCTTCTGATACTGTTCCCATTTTCAAGAAACAAAACTGACAGATTTTAAAGGTTATGTACCTAGATGACCAAGTTCCAAGGAATATTTTGTGGAAGAGAAATAATGGCCATGGGATTACAGGACAGTTTATAGTCTCCTCCCATTCTAATTTTCTATCACATCCTCACGAAATCATACCAGAATAGTCGTTTTAAGTTTTCAGAAGCGGACTGCACACACATTGATGTGTTTAGTCACCCCATACTCTATGGGCAGAGGCAATGCAGACTGAGTTAGGGTGGCTTAACCTCTCAGTGCCCCATGGCAGCTAATGCTAAGAAGAGTCTGGACTTATGCCAAATATTTACAATCTCAAAGTATAATCTTAGTGGGGATAACTTTATCAGTGAACCTTCCTAGCTCTCAAGAACCTCCAGAAGGCTATCATAAAATACATGTAAAGTGGTTTGCAAACCTATACAAAGCACTATATTAATGCTAGCTAGCTATTATTCTGGGAATAAACTACCGCTCTTTCCTTCTAATCCTACCAAATATTTGTTTCCAAACCTGTTCCTTATAAATCTCTTTTAAAAAAAAATTAGAGATTAGAAAATTCACCATGTAACTTGCAATGAGTTCAAGTGATGAATGTGGTACAGTATATATCCTTGGGTAGTGGCCTGTGTCTTTTCCTCAGTGAGACTCTCTTGACTCAACTAAGACCTCTCCCAAGTCCTGAAGACTATTTGACAGAGACTGCCCTAATGGACACTTACCTGTAAATCTTGAAAGAAAGGGGGAAAAAATTATACTCTTCACTAGAGAACATTTCCTTGCACAATCCTAGGGTATAAGGTGGGAGACGAGGAGCTCTTCTGTTAAGTGGTTACTAACAAGTGTGGAAGAAAGCAGTATTTTTTTCTTTACAAAGTTTTCATCATCATTCTTTCTTTTGAACTAAAAAAAAATAGCCACTCTTCAAAGAGGCCTCACCTTCTCTTCACCTTTTGAGGGCCCACAGACAGTTCTACACACCTATCACAGAATGTAAAGAAATGAAACAAGCAGAACAAGGGGCTAAAAAACAACTGTGCCAGATTTTAGAAATAAAATCTATTCCAATGCTTTCTTTATTAATCTCCCCATTTCCCTGTTTCCCTACAATTGGGGGTATTGTCCCAGTAATAGTGTCAAGCAACAGAAAAACACTCATTCAACTCACTCTCAGATATAGGTCAGACCTCAAAATTCACCAACTCAAAGGTTTTTATTTTAATTTTTACCATCTTTTACTTAATAATAAAATGAAAAATAAGAGAATATATGAAGTACATACAGTCTATATACATATATTTATTGCAAATACTTAAAATTCTTATGTAAAATGATTTTCTATATTATTTGTGAAAAAATATGAATGGTGTCGACACCAACTTCTCTGTACATACCCTCAATTCCAATGTTAACAATTCCTTTAAAAAGGCAAAAGACACTAACGTTTAGCATGTACTAAACCAGTTTGTACAAACCTTATAGCCAGGAGGAAAAAAATAGCTTGTGGTAAACAATGTCAAATTTATTTTGAAATAAAAAACAAACCCCAGAACTATCCCCTTTACTTATTGCATTATATGGAAATAATCCGAGTGCCTTTCAGTCACTTCCTTGGAGAGTGGTGCCTCTGCGGAGGCCCCGAACCCAACATACCCTGTATCAGAAATTCACAAGTCTTCTGCTGTCAATTTACTTTTTACAGATATTAAAATATATATTACTTAAAATATATTATTGGAAAGCTTTTTTTAAACTGATCTTCAATATTTGTATCAAATGTATAGGATTAATAAAAATAAAGTAACCAAGAATCTCTGAAGGTATTATTTCAATCTTAGCAAATATCCCTGTTGCTTCCCTCCAACAGGTTTAGGTAGGAAAAAATCCCTGCCTAGCATGTGTCCCAAAGTCTTTCTGGACTCTTCAAATGCCCAAGCTGAAGCCTACCCCCTGGGCCAAGTTTTAGCCCAAGTGTTTTGTACAGCTACGTAATAGGGCAGAATCAAGACCTTTTCTATTTTTGCATCATGGGAAAACTGGTAAGGTTTACTTTATATATGAGAGCCAGACACAAGCAAGATACTGATGCTACTCACTGTCAGTGAAGCCTTCAAAACACCTAGTTAACATGAGTCCCTTAAGACCCCTCCATTTTGGTAACCACATTCAATAAGACCCTAACCAGAGAGCTCTTTCATGGTCCTGAAGGTGGTAAAATGCAATAATAGCCAGTTAGGCATTTAATAGCACTAACATGTTATTCTTAATGGCTAAAGCCAGGTGATTAACAATGTATTGATTAAAACCCTTACCTGGCAGATTTGGTCTTACCCTGAATGGTTATTTAAATTTGAGAAATAAGTTTCAAAACATCTCTCAGCCTGCAGAAAATGTTACCAGCTCTTACTAAGGATGCTCAATCTGATAGCAAAGAGCATCAGTAACTTGAGCATGTGGATGGAGGGGGAGGAGGACAGAGAACCTGGGGCATGTTTATTTGGTTTTCTATTCTTATTGACTAGATGGTGTGGTTTTTATAACTAGCACAATTTCAAATTCAAAGAACATTTTATAACAAATAATTCAGAACACACATAATTTAAGACCTGGAGATACTGTATTATTAATGCTATTTCCCTGCAGAAGAACCTGTACCGGAAGGCATCCGAAGGATAGAGAGGGGTGTATCTGAAGCATGCCCACTAGGGATGCAACACCCAATTAAAGTCAATGGGAGTAGTGCAATTTAACTCTATTCTATAAGAACGCTTAGCACTTTCCTTGAAAATACTTCAAGTTGAATAGGAAGGAAGATAGGAAAAAAAAAAAAATATATATATATATATATATAAAACTAAAACCAAAACCAGAACCCTCAGAAGATATGGGAAAACCAGTATCTACTGATAATGTTCCAATAGGTTTTCATCTCCAACTGCTTCATTTTTCAAGACTAATACCAAGTTCAAAAGTATTTTTTGCTTTTGTTGTTTAATATGCAAGACATGACTTCCCACTTGAACAATGCATTGCTATTTTCCAACAAAAAATGTGAAAGTGGATGTGACCTACACCCTCTGGTCTCCTTGTAGTTCACATATGATCCTCAACAACAGAGACATGGACTAAATCCTTTTTATAAGCTGTGACAGTCTGAGAAGACAGGGCAGGAATGCACTCAAACACTACATTGTGGGGGAAATGTACAAATCTATTTCTTGGTTTTTTGTTTTAACAAATTTTGAAAATTAGGAGCTTTAGTTTGCTTACATGTTACAGCATCTAGTGAAGAGTTTAACATTAAAAATCTTTTTATTTTTAACACCATAGTCAATATGAATTAAGAGACAAGATAGATTGGCCTTGTGATGGCCTGAAGTTTTCCTTCCTCTGTAGCTAAGTCATTTGTCTATCCCTAGATTTAAGGATCAACCAGAACTTTCCTTGAACCATATGCTGACGATCCCCCTAGACTACTAGCATGAGGAAGGGAAGTAGAGAGACAGAGAATGAAGTTACCCACCAGCAGGCCAAATTCTTCGCCACTTAGAACCTCCTCAAGTTGCCCAGAGCATTTCTACCTGCAGGTAGAAAGAGAGCAGAACAAACCCATAGCCTGACCTTCTGCTGTGTGAGCTAATTGGAGCAGCTGCTGCCAGCCTTGGGATTCCTGCAGTCTTTCCTCTTCTTGACTATATGTGCATAGTGGTCAACAATGGAAAAATATCATGCCAGCCGGAGCATGAGTTTCAGACAGTCCTATGACTGCATCAGGCCACAAGTAGGAAAGACCACTAATGGGGATGTAAATCTTATACAAAGTTTGGAATGGGGCTCGAGGAGGGGGGGGTGGGGACTGTCGAGATTGTGTAGTTTAAGAAAACAATGACAAGGGGGGAGAAAGAGTAAAATGGGAAAGGATCAAGTAACACTAAATAGGTATCTCTTGCTATCTCCTATTCTGGAATGTAATTCAATTTTTAGGTTCTAAAATGTTTTGGATTTCAGAAATGCCATGCCCTGAATGTAACTAGTTGTATTTGTCTGCTGCACTGGTAATTCTATTTTATACACTTGAAATTAGGCCTTGTACTCGACATGACAATTTTTGCAAATCAAGGCCACCCCAACTTTACTAAGTAATTCTGGTTGCTGTCCTATCACTAAGCCAATGATAACCTCCAATCCCAGGTAGCCAGGGTGCAGACCTCTATTCTAGTTTTGTACTCCCAGGTGAATCTGCTGTTTCTCCCTTGCTCATTCTTAGACATCATTACTCTTAGGCTTTCCAGAGCAGACATAGACAAACTGAGGGTTTGGAATTTTCAAAAATATGAAAAGTGCCTGACTTGTGTTTTAAAAAATATATATACATATATAAATTTAAAAATATATAAATTATTAGCCTAGTACATGCCCCACAGTGTCCTGTCAGGCCAAAACGAGTGTAACAGAAACTGCAACTGTGGCATTACTCACTTATCCTATCTAAGTACTGTCTGCTTAGCACTGAGTGTCTGGTTGAAGATAGATGAGGCTATTTCAAGGCTAGTGTTAAAACCGAGCAAGTTTTTGCTCTTCCATGTGCCCCCACAATTTCAAACATACCCAAAAGGAAACATAGCCCAAGTTCTATTACTGTCTTTTTTCTTTTTTTTTTTCTTTCTTTCTTCTTTTTTTTTTTTTTTTAAATATCTGCTGCTGAACTACTCAAGAATTCCCAGGAGTAACTAAGTGCTCATTATTATTGCTGGAATCACTGCCCTACCCAAGCTAGTAGGCAGTCAGGCTGAGGTGCTGCACCCTTCCTACAATACCCTGTCTCAGGGCACGCAGGTAGGGTTGGGAGAATGGCAAGTATCCACAAGCATAGTGCTCAGATGCCACATAGCTTCTGGAGAGACTAGGAGCAGAAGCAGGTCAGAGCTGGTGGAAAAAAGGTTTGCAATCCTCTTTGTGAAATTAATGCCTTAGCAATGTCCAAACTGAGCAAGACTCTCCCTTAGATAAAGAGACTAAGTATGCCCTGTGCCCAAATCCTTCAAAGAGGCCAAGTAATTTCTCCAACCAGAATTTCAAGGCCTTCATTAGGATGGAGAGCCACTACCTTTGGCCCTTCCCTCTACCTTCTTTTCTTAGCCTGACTCACAGGGGAGAGGTTGGAAAGGAAGTGGCTCTGTTCTTTCAGGTTAGCAAGCTTTTCTGAGTCATGTGAACTGGAACCAAAGCATAAGTCCACAGTAATACATTATCTCCTAAACACTTGGAAAAATAATTTTTAAACAAAATAATGTGACATATTTTACATGATTTTATAAGTGCAAACTTGTCACAATTCACAAAGTCTTGCTTGACTTAGACTTACTGTACAACAAGGTGCTCTTCCATTAAAAGGTAAAAACTGTGTTTTGTATTCCTGATTACGTAACATTTATCTCTTGAGTAAGACAACCGAAATTAGTTCTTTCTTCCTGTGATTCCAAAAGAAGGACCTATACATACTTGTGTCTCCCTATATACTTGCCTATCCACTTTTTTCTCTAGGGTCTCTCTCATTTTCTGCTCTTCCATTGTCTCTCACCGGACCACAAGGCAGGAGACACACAGTTTCGAGGGGCCAATGCAATCATCATGGCAGAAGGCACCACAGCCTTTGCACATGATCATGGCTTTCAACCTGCAATAGCATTTGGAAGGCGAGTCTTCCACACTGTTTTCTTCAGGGAAGGCCTGCACAGGGAGGGTCTGTCCATGGCTACTGGGGTTCATTGCCTGGCTAGCAGGGATGGTGGTGACTGTCACCGAGAAGGACATGACATCCCCCATGTTGCTAGACACCTGATTACAGTCAGGCATTCCTGACACAGCAGAGCTGTGGTCCACATCAGAAGAAGTAGAGACATTGATCATGCCTCTATAGCTGGGCCCAAGCTGCCGTGGTGGGCTTCCATAAAGCTTTGGGGTTTGCAGTGGTGGAAGGAGCAGAGGCTGACGTGTAGGGCTGTCTGTAGGGAGAGGAAGAGTACCATATAGCTCAGGGCTACTATTTATCATCTTTCCCCTCATTGCATGGGCCATTCGTTCCTGAGCTGCCTGAAGGAAATCTCTGGCCAGGGTGTTTCCATCAAATACTTGACCTGTAGGGAAGAGGTGGAAATTCTCCTTGCTGACAGTGGCATGACCCATCACTGGTGCTTCAGCTTTCATATTCTTGTTGGTTAGAGTGTCATATGTCGATAGGGTATCTCTGCTATAGACTCCTGGGCCTCCTTCGCACTTCCCAGAAACCTGGGAAGGTGAGGGCTCCTCCTTCACTAGAATCTGTTCCTCTTCATCATCTGTACTCTCTTCATCAGTCTCATCTTCATCTTTACTGCTGCTGCCATCTGCTAGAGCCCCTTTGTAATCTTGGTTTTCCATTTTAAAGGCCTCAGGAGGACTGTTCAAACAAAAACGATCCTCAGAATTCATGGACTGGGCTCTTTTAAAGCTCTCTGAACCCCGGCCATAGGTGGAAATGTTGAGTAAGTAGTGGCCTGACATGGCAGGCTTGGATGTCCTTCTGCCTGTAAAACCCAGCATAAACCTCTGGCTGGTAGAGATGTCCTCTAATTGGAAACCTGAGTGAGTGAGGCTGAACTGGGTGGGCTGTAAGACTGATAGCAAGTTCTGCCTCTGAACCCTTTTAATGAGTGTCTGGAGAAGATGCTCTTGGGTTGCCTTATTGAGTCCTTCTTGGCAAGGATACTGATCAATGTTAGAGTCCCTCAGGTCCTTTCCTGAGAAGAGGTGGAGGGTCCTTGGGACCTGGGGTAACTGCTTACTCTGATGGATTTTCTCTGACTGAGGCGTAGACAGATAAGACTGTCTCTCACTACCTTCCCCTCTGGCACTAGTTCCTGTAATGCTGGTGTCCCTGGGTGCTGCTGTCCCTTTCTCCTCCTTTGTAACCAATGGAACAGTTTTCATTTCTACTTTGGTGAGAGGCTTAGGCAGTATCTGCTCCAAGGGAACATCTTTGCCTTGGAGCAGCTGGGTGACCAAAGGGTTATTAGCAGGAATACTAGAGCTTGGCCGTGCAGTGGGTCCGCTTGTATTTGAGGAAGCTCCTTGAGCTTTAAGGCTAGAGGTTGGCAAAGTGCTAGAGGATGGAGCTGATACAGTAGGTGCTGCAGGAACACTGGTCTGGGGTGGCAAAGGCTTTTCTAAAGTGGCTGCTATTGGTAAAGTTGTCAAAGAGGAAGGAGCCACCTCCATAGGAGCACTAGGACTTGTTTCTACTACAGCTGCAACACTTACTATGTCTTTCCTAGAACTAGCTCTAGGCTCAACTGTGCATTCTGCTGCAACCTGAGCAGGTGGGGTCCCTGAGGTCAGGGCTGAGCCTGCTGAAGGAGAAGGTGCTTTCTCTTGTTTGAAGTTAGTGGGAACCTGTGAAGGGCGATAGGGAACCGTTCTGTCTGTCCCCAAAGAGGAGTCTGGATCTTCACTCTTCAGCTTCTCTAAAGTTGGGGGGGGTGGGTTAGTGAGGGCTGCTGAGGGGTTACTTGAACATGCTCCACTGACTGCAGATCTGGATGGTAAGGGGGGGGCTTGCTGTAGTTGTGCTCTAGAGACACTGTGAGGTGATGCCGGGCCTGGGGCCTTGGTCTCAACTTGGGATTGAGTCTCTGAACCATCGGGTAAAAGCTCTCTCGTACCTCCCCTGCTTCCAGTTCCTGCCAGTTCCAGTGTGTTCCCTTTTCCAGTTTCACTGGCTCCACCTGATCCTGGCTCCCCTCCTCTTCCTGCTGCTCCTTCTCCTCCCCCTCCGGGGCCAGGACCTGGGATGGTCCCCCCAACAGAGGCAGCTGCAGCTGCGGCAGCGGCGGCGGCAGCAGCTGCCCTCTGGGCTTTGGCCAGCTGGGCTTTTGCTTTGATGTCTGCAAGGGTTCTGGCTCCTTTTCTGTTGGGACTAGTGATAGAGGCTGGAAAACGAACCCTGGGAGAGACCTGTCCTGTAGGAAATGGCACGTGGGAGATTCTGGAGACTGGGATCTGGGGGGAAAAACAAATGAAACGTGACTTAGTTTCCACAGACATTACATAAACAAAACTTACCAGCATTCAAGAGCCATGACCAGAGTTCATTCCATCTTACCAAAACTCCCCTTTCCTCAACATTTATACATCCACCCCCAGAGCCTCAATTTCCTTTAGCCAGCACAGTTTTGGCCACTCTCAATATCTATTCTATGCTGTAAATTTTACTCTAAGTGACGGTTACCTAATTCCTGTTAAATTATGATCTGATAATTAAATGCTCAGTCCCATCTGAGGAGTAAATGCTTGGAATAACCATCAAAACAACAGCTCTTTAATAAGTCTGAGTGGACATCCAGGCTCTAGTAATTACCTACCCCTCTCTATGTACCCACCACTTCCTTTCCTTCCTTACCTTGAGTGGTGGAACTTTCCGCACCTGGACCCTGTCCTCCCTGAGGGGAAAGGGCTGCGGGGAGGCTTGAAGCGGCTGCTGGTGCTGGTGGTTCTCAAGGACGCGAGGCCTTTTCTCCCAGCTCACTGGGGTCTCTTCTTCAGTGAGTGAAGACTTCCTCTTGAGACCTTCTGGGTTCGGATCGCTGTGGTCGGAGGGAGAGGCAACTTTCATGTTGTGCTCCTGAGGACTTTCTTCCATGACTGGTCTTATGACTGGTTTTCCAATTCCTGGGCTCTTTGGTTTGCTTGGAGTCAAAAGAGCTGTGCCTTTGTTTTCCTTTACGATGGGAGCAGCTACAGTGAGATGATTTTCATCTTCAGGCTTTGGCTCAGCAGCGGTTGCTGGCTTCCTTCGGCCTAAGGGGTCCTCATCCTCTGGGCCTGTGATAGGGCCTGTTTTGTCTTGTTCAATGACACTGCTAGTTGAGCAAACGAAAGGCTCCGGGGATCTGGAGGGTTTGGGCAGCACTTCTGTGCTCGCTCCCGATTCTTTCCTTACTGGGGAAAGCAGCAGCACTGGCTTAGACTCTGCTTCTGGGGCCGCCACCACTGTTTTGATGGGAGGTTCATCTGAAGGTGGTGTGGGTTTTGGTTGTTCAGTCAGGGGTTTCTTCATTTTGGGGTCACTGGTAGCACTAGTTAGCTTCCTTGAATCCTCAAGGCTCAACCCAGAACTAAAGAAAGGAAGCAAAAAGGTTTTATTGAGATATCAAGTCTATTTTAATGGTAATACTATAGTCAGTTACCACTTATTTATAGGGTACCAAATGCTCTGGCTAATAGCAATGCTCAAATCCAAAGTGCTCATTTCTATGGTGGCCATGAGGCATCTATAGCTTAAATCTCAGGAAGACTTGGGGAAAGTCTAAAACTTCATGCATGCATGTTTGGGGGGCGGGGGGGGTGCGGAATTGGGATTAGAGAGAGAGGGTGGGGAAGATTCTAGACCACAGCAGACTTGCCCTACTCTTCCCTTACAGAAATGTCCACAGCCAGTGTGGGATGTTTACTCCACCTCCCCTCCTGCCTGCCCCACCCCTAATTCCTAGTCACCCTCTCCCACTTAGGAGACAATTGGAAGCTTGCTCCTGAGCCTTCTTCAAGGACTATAAATCACTCGGGGAAGTGTCTCAGGTATCTGCTGGTGCCTGGAATTCCACAGAATCCTCCTAAAGCACAGACAGCCCTACACAGATAGCTTCAGTGCCTCTTGAATCACCATGATATGCAAACAAATGGGGAGGCCCAAAGTGTGAGTATTCCATGGATATTTCTGCCCTTGTGCGATGTGTTTAATTCAACAAAGATTTATTATGTACCTACTTTAACCAAGGCAGTATACTAGGTGTTGAGCCTACAAATCCAAAAATGAGACAAATACTGACCTCAAGTAAACTTAATGAGTTTACATACATTTTGCTGGATAAGAAGAGGCTGTTATTGCTGTCCTGGAAACCTAAACTATTAGAAAAAGCAAAGGATTGCTGAGCAACCCCAAAGGGACCTAGAATGGTTAATTCTACATCACTGAGATGGACTAGGGAGAAACCATAAAGAGCTCAAAAGTAGTCCTTGTGTAAAAAATGAGACCCCAATCAACAACTGTAATGATAATGTAAGAACAGAGGGAGAATTCCCTTTTCAAGACTGCCATTATATTTTTTTGGTTACAAAAGGCTATTTTATTTCTAGATTCTGATTAATAAGTCTATATGATTTGCTACTTTACTGCCAATTCTAAAATGATTTTGAAAGTAAGACCTTATATTCATCAAAAGTGCCTGGCAATTAGCAAAATAGACAAGGAAGATGGTAGAACAATTACTTTTTACAGGATGGAACAAGTAACACATTCCCTTTTACACAAATAAGGTTGAACTCAATTGAAAAGAAGTGCCTTCTTATAGTATTTTTGTTTGCAAATATAGTATATAACAAATGTGTGTAGATTAATTGTAAGCTTTATGCATAGCTATCTACTACAACAGATATTATCTGTAACAACATTTAACAGTTTTCCAAACGTATTGCTCATTTGAGACTAGTAGGGGGATTGTGTGTGTGTATACACACACACATTTGGGGAGGGGGGGGATTTGGGGGAGAGGTGTGGAAAGGTAGCAAATAACATAGGAAGTGTTTCCTTTAGGAACCTGGAATACAGTTAGTTACAGTGGAAACTACTTTCAGAGTTTATCACAGTAACAGTGGTCTCTTCTTGAAAACAGGATAAATAAGCCCTTCAGTGCTACACACATACATGCTGCAAATAGTTGAGAGTACCTTTTCTGCACACCGTAACAACAGACTTCTTTTATAACAAAGTTTGAAAGGGTATGATATGATAAACTTGAAAGGCTATAAAAGCAGTTCTTGTACAGAATAACCAAACTTCTTCCTGTACAACTGTTGAGTCACCATGCTAATTTGACAAAGACATGATTCAGATATAACACTTTCAGTTGCTAAGGACTGAGAGAAAGTCACACAGAGGATCCTAGTAGAACAGAGAATATTAGGGCTAGAAGGGAATTCAGAGATCATATAGTGCAATTCCTGTTTTTACGGAAGAGAAAACTGAAGCCCAGAAAGATCAAGGGGGCTGGCTCAACCACAGTCCCCAAGCATGTCAGTGGCATAACTCCCCTAGACTAGAATAATATCCTCATGACCCTCTGCCCAGGTCACTTTCCACTGCATTGATGGCTCAGGAGAGGTGTGTGAGGGCAACTATAGATTGTGATGTGATATCAAAGGTTTTCTAAGTACAAACTATAAACAAGCTATTGCACATGATGTTGAATTTTTAGGGATATAGGAATTTGTGGCTATAGTAGTAATTCTGATTTTTCTCCAAGTTTGTTAAAACAAGACTTTCCCTGTGTTTCTATCACTGCTAATAGCAGTCACCATCATCATCACCATACTTTGGAATTATAGAAAATTATTTTGCAGACCTTAAAGCCAATGTGCCAATGTCATATGAAGATTTTAGGCAAGTTTTAAGACTCCACTGAGGCAACTTCCACTCTGGACGACTGACAACTAAGGCAAGAGGTTTTATGATTTTATGAGAAACCATAACACTGAAGAAGTACATAAGTGAATGAACTTTGTGAGATGAGCTTCAACTCTGATATAACTGACACCAAATATCAGTTTTCTCAAGGATTTGTGGGCAAATTGTCTTCTCTCTGTGCACTTACGCTTCTGTGAAAAGTTAAGAGACTCTAGCTACCAACAAAAAAAACATGCTTTTTCTTACCTCTGCCCATAATAGCTCTCAAAGAATTGTTCCTTCCATGGCTCCACTTTTTTCTCTTTCTCAATTTCTTGTCTTATTCTCACCTGCATTTCAGGTGTGAATTCACCTATAATGTATAAAAAGAGAAATTAACCAGAAATGACATTATTTGCAACTCCCAGTTCTCACTTAGTACAAGGCCTGGCCTATAATAACAGGTGCCCAACAAACACTTGTTGAATATCTAACAAAGAAATACACTTAAGGAGAATGAACACATGTGACTACGGATAACAAGGTATGGCTGATTTCACTTCCATTGTCCACCACCTCTTTACATAGAAGAGAGAGGCATATTTCATCATCAGTTCTCTAGTACTGAAGTTGGTCATTACATTGATCTGAGTTCTGAAGTCTCTTAGGTCTCTACCAACTTCCAAAAGATGATCATGGCAGGGGTTGCACATAGCACCCTTACCTAGATTTAGAGATATAGGTCAGGCCACCCTACCCCCAACCCAGAACCAATTCCCCCACTGTCTAGAGTGCCAAAATTGGAGTATGGAGAAGCTCCTCTCTGTCCTAGTACTGGCCTAGTCATGTCTTTCACATTAAGGAACTAATTTCTTGGAGAAAAAAATTATGGAAAAAAACTCACCTTCTGAAAGTCTTTCCTTCCAGCCTTGAGCAGCTGAAGTGAAAAATTCATTGTTAAGGGCTGAACCATTCAGCTTCATCAAACCATCTGCACCAACCTAAGACAGAGTAATTACGTTTAATTCAACTTAATTAAATTAATGTTTTAGAGTACTTATATGTGTATTTGGGTTGAGTTGGATGAACAATGTCAATTGTCCAGAATATGATAATGCAATTGATGGACAAGTCAGAGTTGGTCCCAGAATTGAAGAAGAGGACAAGATGGCCCCAAGTTTCTCCATGCAACAAAGAACCATCTTTTTAATACTAAGACCCTTCAAATGATGTTGTACAGTTGTGAGTAACTGAATACCAAAATTGTAGAATATTTTAAAGTTGCTGATCCCTCAAAGGGCAATGTAGGGGTACATGGTAAGTATAAGTGGGCTGCAATATATTACCAAACAAAATTTGGAGAAAATTATTGCAAAAAAAGTTAGTCATATCATGAGATTGAGGATAATTGATGCATCTTCTTCATGCTCTATTGGTATCCACATAATGTCAAGACATTTACTGAAAGGCCCATGGAGAAATGAATGGAACTTCTGTGAAAGATTTACAAGATGACATGGATAAGAGTTGAAAAGAAAAAATTGGTATATATGGGCTGCCATTCGTACTGCTAGAAAAAATACCTTTTCTAACTTTTCCAGCAAAATGCCTTTTCAATTACTCCCCCCTTTCTCCAATTTCCACTTTTATGTATATACTGGTGATTCCCTGCTGCCTACAAACACGCCCAAGTCTCAAGTTATTATCTTGATTCAACTTACCTCTCTTCAGCCAAACTGCTAGAAAAAGCTACCTACACCTGTTGCTTCAATTTACCTTCCTCTCACTCCTTTTACCATTGCATGCAGTCTGGCTTCTAACCTGATCATTCAACTGAAACTGCTCTCTCCAAAGATACCAATGATCTCTTAATTGCCAAATCTAAGTATTCTGATTATTGGCCACTGCTGACCACTTTCTCCTTTAGGAAACCTTCTCCTCTGTGGATTTTCATACTACTTCTCTGACCTGTCTGACCAATTTTTGGTCTTTTTTGCAGAGTCATCATTAATATCATACCCTTTATATTGTGGGTATGTCCCAGGACTATATCCTGGGTTCTTTCCTCTTCCCTCTCATATACTCTCTTGACAAACGTTTATCACTTCCCATGGGTTTGTCATTTTAAAAAATTAATAATTTTAAAAATTATTTTTATCAATGAGCAATAATTAGCTTTTTATCTCTCACTTGAAAAAAACAAACAGAAAAACCTGTTACAAATATGTACAGTCAAGCAAAAAAAAAATCTCTGCAGTAGCCATGTTACCCACACACACACACATGTATATACATGTGTGTATATACATGTGTATGTGCACATATACATGTATATGTATGTACGCATATGTACCTATTTCTTCTGCACCGAGTTTTCCGCCTTTCTGTAAAGGGTTGGGCAGTATATTACATCTTGATTCTTCTGGAATTGTGTTTGGTCATTATGTTTATCAAAGTTTCTAAGTCTTTCAAAAATGGTTTAATGTGTTCTTGTCCTGTTCACCTGACTCTTTATTACTTTATACAAGTCTTCTCTGAAGCCATCCTCTTCATCATTTCTTATAGCACAGTAGTATTTTATCACCTTTTTTTTTTTTTTTGCTACAACTTGTTCAGCCATCCCCCAATAGATGGGCAAACTTTCAGTTTCCAATTCTTTACCACCACACACAAACAAAAAGGAACCCTCAGAGTTTCTTATTTAGGACTAGGACTAATTCCTCCTTTAACCTACCCTCCCCTCTAATTCCCCCTTATTCCTTTTTCCCTTTCTCTCTTAGTTCTTGAGTGAAATGTATTTCTGCATGTGTATGTGTGTGTCTGTGTGATTCCATCCTTTGATTAGTTCTGATGAGAGTAAATTTCAAACGTTAGTTCCCTTCCCTCTATTATCCTTGTTTACACAGACTTTAATATATGTGTGTACGGGAGATAATATTCTACAACACTGCTCTTCCTTTCCTCCTCTTAGTGTCATCTTCATCTCCCTTTCCACCCTTCTCAGATCATCAATCCATAATAGAACCATTACCAAGTCTTCTGATAGACTCCCTCTTAAACCCCTGATGACAGGAATCAGAATGGATGCGTGTTATCATCTCCCCGTGATAGAATATAACTAGTTTATCCTTGTTTAGTCTCTTAGGATTGTTTGTTCATGCTTACACCTTTTTATATTTCACTTTACTCTTGTGTTTCTGGTTCAAAGTTTCTATACAACTTTGTTCTTTTTTTTTTTTTTAAGGAATGATTTGAAAATCCTCTGGTTTTAGCAAAGATATGTTTCCCCTGTAGCATGACACTCAAATTTTGTCGGGTAAGTTATTCTTGACTGCCTTTCTGGAATACTGTATCACAACTCTGTTTCCTTACAAAAGTATGTGTGAATCTGACTTATGACTCCTCAGTTCTTGAAATATTTCTTTCTGCCTGTCTGTACTATTTTTTTCTTTGACCTACAAACCCTGGATTTTGATTATGACGTTCCTGTGAGTTTTCATTTTGGAGTTTCTTTCAGAAGGTAACCTATGGATGTTTCCAATTTCCACTGTCTTCTGGTTCGAAGAGATCTGGGGAGTTTTCTTTAAAGATTTCTTGAAATATGATGTCTAGGAACTTTCGTTAATTAGGGCTTTTAGGTAGTCCAATGATTCTTAAATTTTTTCTCATCATCATGACTTAACATTTATATGGTGCTTTAAGGTTTGCAGAAATTTACATATATTATTTCATTTTATCCTCACAACAACCCTAAGAGTTAGGTGATATTATTATACCCATTTTATAGATGAGGAAACTGAAGCAGAGGTTAAGTGACTTGCCCAGGGTTATATGGCTAGTAAATATCTGAGAACTGAACTCGGGATTTCCTGACTCCAGGTCCAGTGCTTGATCCATTGCTTCCTTGATCTGTTTTCTAGGTCAGTTTTTTTTTTTTTTTTTTTTTTGCTATGGGATATCTTTTTTTTTTTTCAGCCTTCTGACTTTGTTTTGATATTTGTTGTTCCATGGAGCTTCTTTTTGGTCCGTTTAAATTTTAAGGGAGTTTTATGTTTGGGCAAGGTTTTTACCTTTTATGTCAGGTCCTTAATTTCCTCTCCAATTTTTTCTTTCATATCTCTCATTTCTACTCCAATTTTTTTCCCCATAGTGTTTTCACTTAACAAAACATTTTTTAAAACTCTTAAAAAAAATTTTGCTTCATCTCCTCTAGGAGATCTAGTTGAATTTTTGCCTAAACTGTGCTTTTCTTTGAGGCCTTGCTTATAGATGTTTTAGAGTCATTTTCTTCTGGATTTGTGTCTTGAATATCCCTGTCACCACAATAGCTTTTTGTGGTGGGATTATTTTTTTAGTTTGCTCATTCTTCCAGACTATTTCTTGAGCTAAAGGATGAAAATCCTTGGGATTTTATATTAAGTCTGAGCTCTACATTCTTCTGGAAGGAATGTCTGGGCTAGTCTTACTGCTGTTTTCTCAGTGTTGTTATTCCAGGCTACTCTGCAATCTTTCAGTGTTCCCAAAGTGATCTAATCCAGGGCAGAATTATTACTGCCCCCTGATCCAAGTTGTTCTTGCCTAAAATTTCTCCTCCTTCAAACCACCATCAACAGAGATGCCAAAATAATTTTCTTTGAGTACCAACTTGACCACTCGATAAAATGCAGTGTTTCCCTACTGCTAAATGTAAATTCTCTGTACAGTCAGATTGCATGCCTATAATGCACTCGCTCCTTTTGCCCCTTAAAATCCTTCATTTCCTTCAAGATGCAGCTGAAAGCATCATATTTCACATGAAACCTTTCCTAATCCAATCAAATTTTAGGGCTCTTCTCTAATTACTACACATATATTGGAAGTATGTACATACAATGCATGTATTTCCACACATGTACACGTGTGTATATGCATACCCAATCACACACACATTCTGCACATGCTTAGAAATGTATACGCTATCTCCAACAGAATTTAAGTTTCTTAGTTAAGAGCAGCGATTGCTTTCTTCTCCCCCGCCAATCTTCATAAACCCAGCACCAAGCATAGTGTTTAGCATATAGTAGCACTTAAATGCTTTTCTGAATAATGAGCTAGATCAGAGATCCAAAGTACGTATAAGGTCCTATGAGAGAGCAAGCAAACTAAAACAGAGTGATACAAAAGCACAAATTTGCCACATAAGAATTCACTTTATCTTGAAATGGCTCCAATTATAGCTACTTCAGCTAAGTGAATAAGCCAGCCTTATGTCATTGTTGCTATTTGGCCTTAGTTTTGGAAGAAGACCAATGACATCATAATGTTGGAGTCAGGGTACAGTGTGTTCGGCTATGGCTGAAAGGCCAATACATGTTCGGAAGGTCCTACACAGATCAATACAAGTGGTCGATTAGAACATTTTCAGTGGAAGTGCCTTTGGATTTGTGCAGCTCACATTTCTTTTTTGCTGCTACAATTCTGCTTTGCTAATGGAGAAGAGAGCCTGCTTTCATGGAGGCACGCCATGCTGGACAGTTTCTCATGTCTCACAGTCAACATTAAAGTTCTTTAGAGATACCTTACACTACTTCTTCTGCCCAACATATGAGTGAGTACTTACTACCTTGTGAAAGTTCCCTGTAAAACAGTTCTTTGGATAAGCTTGCATTTGGCATTCGGGCTATGTGGCCAGCCCATTGGAGTTACATGTTAGGGTGAATGTCTCACGGTCTCATGAGAACTCTGTTGAAGGAACTTTCCCATGGGAGTTCTAGCTTCTATCAGTAGAAGCTGAGGGTCACAACTTAGTTGCGTGGCAAAAATAAGAAAGTCCCAGGAGCTCTCCTTTGCTGACATGCAGCTCCCACGGTTGGTTTGGCTCTCCTCTCAATGGGAGATGAGTCCTGACACGAGCTCCAGCAGACCTGATGATTGGCTATCACAGGGGGATCACACTTTGAACATGCATCACTAGGGCCATAAAAGACAGCTAACTACACTCAATAAACGGAGCTTCTGCCAC